AAAAAAAAGAAAAGATTCAACTAGAAGCCGTGAAATATCTCGATCATCGCTCACTGCTCTTATAATAAACACAAATCAATTGAAAAGTATCTTATCGCAGTATCGATACCGCTCTGAGAAAAGGACAGTGTAATTCTCTTCGTCTTTTTCCCCCCAATTTTCCAACAAAGGCTGTTTTCCGATCGTAAATAAAAAAACGGACATTAATAAAACACTAAATTTTTAAGACAGAAAGTGGCAACCTTTATCGCTTTTTTGTAATAAAAAATAGTAGTAAAACTGTATACAGGGAAGATACTCGTCGTCACATTTATGCGCAAAGCACGAGTAGGCGATAAGCGGCAAATCGCGGTTTTTACGATGCGCCGCCGCTGTTTCGATTACAAAAAAAAAAAAAAAAAACCCGCGCCAGACATACCGGCACCCGGAGTTCCGCATCGTAAATAAATTAAATTTAACGCGCATTTGTGTACAAATTATTTCCGAGCGGCGCGGCTCAAGCACCCAATAAAAATATTTCGCCGCTCGTTAAAATTAACAATGTCGGGACGAATAAATCGCAATTAATTATCCGCGGGCCGCACACGCGCATACACGCGCGCGGATCAACGTTGTTTCCGGTCAAGGGAAGCGAGAGAAATGGAGAAAGAGCGATAAACAGATAGATGGATAAGGAAGGAGGGAGGGAGGGGGGGGAGTCTCTTGTTAAAGAGAAAAAGAAAGGCGGGCCTTTCAAATGTAGCACAAACACGCTCGTGAAATTCCTCTCCTCGTTTCAATCGCGAAGGAGCCGGAGAAACACACCGTGGAATCCAAGCGACCTTGCGCCCGTTACGCGAAAAGAAAGCAAAAGCAAACAATAGGCATGATCCTCTTGTATATATACCTATATATACTTTGAACGCAGCTGGTGGATGCAACCGACTATATTTCATTTGACGCATGTGAGACGTCTACGCGAGTCCGATGATCGATCTGAAGAATTCGGTGTCCGGAGCCCTCTGGATAGAGCAGTGATATATAAGCAATAACGAAATCTTGACGTATCAAGCGTATGATTAATTTAAAGTGACATAAAAGTTTTTTTCATCCGTCTAACGGCTAGCGTTGCGAGTGAAAAGTAAACAGGTTTTTTTTTTTTTTTGGGACGAATTAGCATACGTAAGATATATACGTAACGGATGATTGAAAGAGGGTTAGAGATTAACGTTGTTGCTGTTCTTACTTCTTCTGTACATGACACTTTCTTAAACAAGCGATCCGCAAAGTGATTCAATTGGTGTCGCTCATCTCTTAGGCTCATCTCTTAGGATTGCGTGCAACAATATTGCTTTAACTGTAAGCGAGACCTAAAACTCCCTCCCTCTTCGTCTATCTCTTTCTCAGCTTTAAAAGGAGAAAGAAAGAGTTTTGAGCCCCGCTGTTAAAGTAACATTGATGTACAATCAGGCCTAATAATATTTGGTTTACAAAGAGCGGCGGATTATAATACAATTATTACACAATAATAATAGAATGATAAAAGAAAATGACAAGAGACGTAACGTTTGAACGGTAATACTTGCAAGCTCGATAGCCGCACAAGGAAGAGAGCTCGAGGATCTCTCTCTTCTTCGGTTTCTTACTACGAGAGAGCATGGGCTTCCACGAAGAGAGCTAACGAGGCGGTCAGGTAGATACTCCGGCCGCTAACAGCTGCGCGGAGAGTAAAACTCGGCGGGAGAGACAGAGCGGAGACGCTCTTCTGGATCCCGTCCCTCGATAAGCGTCTCTTCGATATGTTGTACAATAACCGAGCCCGCAACTCGATCTTTCATCGCGCGAGACCGCGGCTCGATCTGCGTGTTACTTAACAGCCTTCGCGGGCTATGTTGACACGACATGTGAGCTCGACATAGCGATCTACAAGAGGAGAGGAATTCATAAATATTTTATCAAATGTGTGTGTCCAAAATAAAAAGTTCACCAAACTCTTTTAAATCTGAATCTGTGGCTTTTTTTTTTATCAGGATTAATTGTTGGCAATCTTAATTGATAAGTCTTGATTTAAATTTTCATCGAAACAAGAGGGAGACAAAAGAATGGATAGATCTCTTATATTTATGTAGCGACTTTAACGTAGAGAAAGTATCGACTGATTAATAAAGTTCTGTCGGTTTTATGACAAAAAATAAATGGGAAAAGATTATATAGAAGGAGACCGCAGTATTCGTCAGAATAGTTATACGCAATAGCTTTTTTCCAGCCCAAAACAAGCTTGTTGATGTCGCTTTTATACAAGTCATTTCTAGAGAAAGCTCTTCTCAACTTTATTTTTACAGTCTATCTATTTTTCAATTGTCGATTCCGTAGATGATTGTCTAAACTTAATCGATGTAATGGAAAGAATGTTGCCTGCTAGTACAATCTTGACCCATCTTGTGATGATCAATTGAGTTTGTCATCCGCCAAATTTCCTAGATGCGAGACAGTACACTTGCTTGAATACCTCATCGATCATCAGTCATACTTCAGATCAATGAACCGCAAGAAGGTTCAAACATCGCCGCGGTGAAGAAACCACTTGACCTTGCATGGTCAGACGTCTGTTGCAACCTCCCAATCATTAAACGATTTATTTGCACATCTCGTCGCTCAAGGACCAACTGCGGAGATCGGAGGATCTTTCGAACGTTCGTATCAATTAGAGAAGGTACTATTTAGAAATATCTATTTGTGTATAATCGTAATTTATGTAACATTGTATTAATGGCATAGAAAAATCGGAGCAACGGTTCTATCAACTTTAGTTCGATTCTTTATCCTCCCTCTTGTATCAATTCACGTAAAAGCGTAAGCTAAGACCAATCAAGATTAATAAAAAATTGATCTTGACAAAAAAATATCCACAAATACAGATTTAAAGAAGATGAGTAAATTAAACGTTTTATTATGAGGAAACGATTTTATAGGATGAAAAATTGAACTCGGTTTAAGTCTAGAGAAAGAGAGAGAGAGTCTGTTCAGTTCTTATTTATGCCGTTCGTAAAGCATTTAAAAACGTCGGGAAACATCCGAACGCTTTTGTGCGTGTAATTTTATCATATATACAGTATTAAAAAAAAAAAAGAAAAGTATTCGTATACGGAACACACGTTGTATCTCCCGCTGTAACCGCCAATTTGCGTCATGATGTAGTGGCAAGAGCTGAAAGTGTAGAAAGCTAAGTCACCGGCTTTTACCTAATCGCGATGGGTCGAGAAGAGACACACCGCGGGAGCTGCGGTCCAGGTGGTGGGCCTATCTGTCGGTGCTCCTCGTGAAAGCATGGGCATTCCGTACGCGGCTCGTTCAGTTCGGGGAACGAGCGAGCACTCGGTGTCTCGAGGAGGTCTGTTCTCCGCGGTGTGTCGTTAAGCGTGCACACAAACATAAACACACACGCGCGGACCAAGTTATATACACTCTCGACCGCGGGCCTCTGGTATTTACCAGCGATTCGCTTGGTCAATACGCGGATGTATGAGTGGACATCGATGTGTTCACTCTTGACGTACATATATATATATATATGTACATGCACGGGAGGTCCTCTCCATCTTCCTCCTTCCACTCGCGAAGGATACAGGAGATAAAGCTTTTCTCTCCGCCGCTTCTCCCTGCGCCGCAGTCATTTAGCCGTTCCTTTCTTGGGACGGAATAGCATCCCTTATGTTTCAGACTCGCAATCAGCAGATAAAGGTTTATGAGCTCTTTCTGAATAATCCACTAATAATCTCCGTTGTCCTCCGCGTGACGGAGACTGTGAAAGCCCATCCCACTTCGTCGCTTGCGTTCCATCGTGCGGCACACACGCGGGACGAATTCGTGTTGCGTGCAGCTCGCACGTGCCATTCTAATCGCGTCAATCTAAACTTAGCAATATATCATACCAGACGTATGTATGTGTGTGTGTGTGTGTGTGTGTGTGTGTATAATATATATTGTAATAGAAAAATATATGTATATATTTGTTTTTTCGTTGTTAGACTTGTAACTTATAGTTTAGCGTTATGCTCTTAAATTAATGTATAAACACTTCTCATGTTAATTATTTTAATTCACGATTAAATTACAGGTGCGTGTCTACAAGAGGAGTTTGATACGCCAGTAAAATTAAAATTTGTCTCACTTTTCAGTACAGTCCCCTTAAAAAAAAAAAAATTCATATATACGCAATTATCTATATAGATTTTAAATCGCTCAATTTCGGAGTACGATGAAAATGTTTTCAGAAATGAAGCTGCAACTGAAGAAATTACATCTCACGTGGAAATTTTGCGGAACTCTTCCGCGCGAAACAACGGCGGCTGCAGAGAAGTACATGTAACGTTTAATTTTCTCTCTCTTTTTTTTTCTTCCTTCCACCTGCGACATCGTCTCTATTCGCGTTCCGCGGATCCCGCGTCGCACGTGCACGCGTTTCTCTCCTCCCTCGGCGCGGCGGCCAATTCCTCCTCCGTCTCTTGCGAGGAAGACCACTCCCCGCCGCCGCCGCCGCCGCCGCCGCCGCCGCCGCCACCACCACACAACCACTGCTACTACCACCGCCAGCTCTTACATCTCTTCCCTCCCTACCCGAGTCTTTTTCTCTCTCTTGGTGACCGCGCGCGATCTTTGTTACTCCGCGCGGACACGGTGGTGGAAGTCGCAACGGAACTTCAGTGCAGCTGCGACGAGCAGCTGACGCGGAATCATTCAGCTCTGTAGTGTGGAGCCCGGCGCCGCGTATACGTGACACACCGCGCGCGACAGGTCACACGTTTTCAGACCGCTTTCAGCCTCCGGCCGAGGAGAGGAGGACCAGCCGAGAGATTCGCGCGGCGGTGTCTTCGTACCCGCCGCAAATGAGCTCGCGCCGCGAGTGCGCGCGCGAGGGAAACGCTCCTGCTGCCGTGCGTCTCGGTCGCGAGCAGTGCGGTGTGCCGTCATTATCATCATCATCATCATCATCGTTGCGCGATTCCGCGGCGAGGTGCGTCGCCGGCTGTGCTCCGCGGTCGCGACGACGACTCGGCGAGTCGATAGGACGGCAGTCGAGAAGAAGGAGCTGATCGTCGTGAAAGAGCAACGCGCCAAGTGTAAACGGCGACAAGTGTACGCGCGCGAGCGCGCCGACGAGGGAATACTCGCGCAGGTGAGTGTAAGAGATCGCTTGTCGCGTACGCCGGGGGGTAATCCACGTCTCGCCGAGAACGAGATCCTCGAGGATACCTCGAGGCACGATACGGACTGATGGACAGGCCGACGGAAAGAAACTGATTATATATCCCAGGAAAAATCACCTGGTAGAAATAAAAGTTCGCGGCAGATATAATAAAGTATGCTCCGACACATTTAGCTTCTTTTGCAACGAAAGGTAAAACGGAATGAAGTGTGTAGGATACGAAGAAGGAAAAGGAGAAATGTAAGAGAGCCCGAGTGAGATCTCACACTTAAAAATTGACGATTCAGCTTTTTTCTAACATTGATCCGATTGTCATTCTTTGGAATCGCTCCAAAAGTTACCGAGAGGAGAGCAATCAGTCATCTGTGCATTGTTAACAAATTAATAATTACTACAAGTCATTGGAAATGTTAACGAATTCATTTCAAACAACGAGGATTCTTAGCTGAGTCACGATCATTTTGGTCAATTCTAGTTTTTAATATTAAGTTGACTTTCTCTGTTGACATTTGATCAGAAATTAAAGAGCTGACATTTAAAATTGAGAGCTACAGCGAGCATGTATTCGAAGAAATTTTCTTCCATAAATCAATTGCGTAACACTCGGAGGATCCCTCGCGCAGTTTCAGCGCGACATGTAGGGATAATTAAAGCGTGCGATCTTTAAGCGCGATGGAAAAGGAAGAGAGGGAGGAAATGACACCGAGAATGCGGATTGTACGGTGCGTGATGGATGATGAATCGGGCCGGCGAGCGAATTTTTAACGCGTGATATCATATTCGGAGGAAAGCGAGCCGCGTAGTTACCGCGAGCGTTGCCGGACTTGATCGATAGAGACACGTGCGAAGGCGACACGTGATTCCCGCGTTCGGTGACAGTCTCTAATTCGTAAGATCTCGATTTGCATTCGTCCGCTTGACTCACCTAACGGCGAGCGTCCGCTTCTAGAACGTGGCATCTTTGCTACAGACATTCGTTACCGAGTATATTTATTGTCGCCTGAGACAGAAAAAGAGAGAAAAATAGGGAGCGTCTTTTTTTTTTTTTTATTTCTCGAAGATCTGATATTTGATACAGCCGGAAGATAAGAATTGAATAAACTTTTCGAAATTCAATGTATTTTGCATCAAACGTACACGATGACCACGTTTTTTTATTATACAAGTAGCTGTCCTTCAGATTTGTTTATTTTTTCAAAATCCAATTTAATTTGTCCTTTACTTTAATAAGGAATAATTATAGGAAAATCCCTTCTAATTAGTATTCCAATATTTAAAGTCGGACTAATGAACGAACACCCAGAGAAAGGTTTTCTCGATTCAAAGAAATCTTTTTCTGATTGAATGTTTACGGAAATAGATTTAGTTTTATGTATGAGCAATATTAGCGGAATAACAAAGTCGCAATAATGTCAAAATGATATTAAAATGAGCCGTGAGATTGATTGAAAAATGATTAATAATCTGTACAGTTTATTTTGACGTAATTTTGACGATGTTATGATACTTGAGAGTTACTTTAGATATCACAAGAATATTTCAGAAATTAATGCGCAGATTTCTGATATAATCGTAAAGTAGTTTCGAAATATTTCGGAATAAAGTTCTAAATACGTCCGGGTTTATCTTTTACTTATTCTAAGGAAATATGGTAATCACCGTAATTAAACGGCGAGATGTTGCGGACGTGTCGCGACTTCATTCACCTTGGACACGAGTGCAAAATAGTCGCCGGCTTAATCGAATTTCAAGCTCGTGAGTCATCGTTTAGCAAAACGCGGGATGAAAGTGTCATCCTCGGTCTTTGTTTACGTCAATCGCGTTTGGCATATCACCTCGATGAGGCGCTTACATCCCAACGGAACGACATTAATGTCAATTTTTGCGAAATCATGGACGCCGTGAAGCGAGAACAGAGGGGAGAAACCCGCGCGAAATCGTCAACGTCAGCTGCTCGATCGGATTCGCAACGCGTCGCACTCGCTCGCTCGATCGACCGATTGCGCGTAACGGCGGGAGCACTTTCAAAAATGATCGTCGCCGAAGTCGACCTGGCGAAATGTTCGAGTGTGTTGCGTGGGTGGAGAAGAGAACACGTGATTTCGACGAGATCACGAAATCAATCGGTCATTCACGGCATTGTACGATTTCCATCGAGTATAATCGACTTTCATGACACGTCGACTTGCTTTACTGGTATCGGAATATTTTATATTCTTTTGTTAAGAATAGCAGCGAGTTTGCGATGAGCCGAATGCTTTAACAAAATAACTCGTTCATTCCGACAATTATAGAAATTTATGGAATAATATCAAGTTTTCTAAAGGTAAAATAAATAATAAAAAGAACTTTATCGAATGCAATTAGCCAATTCATCTAATTGAATCTATCAAGCCACGTGAGAGATTACTAGTTTAATCATTTATCCGATCAATAGGAACGGACCGATTAATCGATCAAGCCGCAAACCACTGGGACTCAATCGATTAATCAAACGAAATCGATAAACGGATAACAATTTAATCGATAAATCGCGACCGCTTTCAATTGCTTAAGTCGACTAACGCAAAATACATAATGAAATGATTTTGAAACGAGTTATTTGGTTTGAATAATAATAGATATTAAAATGACATATAAGCAACAACTTAACGAAAATTAAATTTTAAACACATAATAAAAGTTCATAATTATAATAAATAAAAATTTGGATGATATTTTATTCACTTAAAGTATGACAGTAAAACATTTTGAAAATTAATTATTTTAATGGGAAGAAATATATTTTATATTATTTTTTAATACAGAAAAAAAATGTATAAAGAACAAATTGGAAGCTTTTATAAATCCAATTTTATCCATCGGTTTAATTTAATCACAATCATTACATTGTCTATCACACTATCTTTATTGTAAAAATATTACAACGTGAAAAGTGCAAAATACTTAGTTTTAAATCGCTTAATGAATTAACAAAACAATTTTTCCAATTTGTTTCAATTATCCAATAAGTACGAATATTTTTCATTCCTAGAAAAGATCAAGCAAACAAAAATTAAGAAACTGATAAGAAACCAAATATTTCATCAGTATGAAAGACATAATTAAAAAGTTAAACAATTTTCAAAACTTACAAAAAAGAAATATAACATTACACAATCTAAAAAAAAAAAAATAGAAACCGTCAGTAACGATCGTTCTAAATGAAAACAGCTTTGATTGAAAAAGTGCTGCGACAATAACAGTATTCCCTAACGATATTCGTCGGATTTAAAAGATATTGCGTGTACAGAATAAGCGCGGTGCCAATTTGACGGGATAACCATACAGCTTTCGATTATCCGACGTATAGCTCGCGCTGATTCGCGAAGGAGGTGCAATTATCGCGAGTGATATTTTTCAGCGATTTAAGATGCCGGCGAACGTTGACGAAGCACGTCTTGCAGGTCCGCGATATCGACTCAATCCCATCCCTACGGCCTACACGCGCACGCACGCACGCACGCACGCACGCACGCACGTCGGGCCCTTCCTCGCCAGCACGCACCTGTTATGTTGTGTTGTCGTTCTGCAGCGGCGTGGCTGCACGCGACAGCTCGTGCCACTTACTTCCAGTTACCTCTCGGCAGTGCGAACCATCGGCCGCCGTCGTCGCGTCGCTATTTCTCGCGTCGTATCGACGCTGTCGCGAAATCACTCATGATCTCTGACACGAGGAGAGATTGACCGTCGTCCACCTCGTTCGCGACCGCAGCCCGCCAGGCTGAAATGGAATGTATAGATAAAATATTAAGTCTGTTGTTTATACAGTCGCGAATTAATGTACGCTTTTGTAATTGAAAGTGGAAAATAGGTTTTAGAGCCGAAGTGAGAAAAAGTTCTAATGCAGGAATAAAGAACGGACTGCCTACCGTTGGCGCGCTTATTTTGCGCGCGAAACCGAAACGTGTTCCGTCGAATGACGGAAGCGGAAAGACGAATGCGATACTTGAAAGCGTGCGCTGCGATCTGCTACTTCCTTCCATCTCGAAGTCGCGAGTCGACGTTGCTCTCGTTTCAAATTCGGAGTATCAGTTTTATTACGAGTTCCGGGAGTGGGTTCTTTCTTCACTTTTGAAGTAGAGGAAGAACGGATACTGTGTATCACGCAAAGTGTCTGGGGAAACTATTTTCCTTGAGAACGTGAAAAAAAAATCAGTTCGGAATAAGCGATGATGCAATCGACCTAAAGTGCTGTAACGCGAATTATGGAATTAAAATTTTATACGAGAGAGAGGAAAGAGAACGAAAATAAGAATTATATTGCGCTTCACCTTCATCTTCCTATAACGGTAAGTGACGTTGACCCGGTAAAGGATTTACCGTGTTCTCTTTATGATTCTTCTTATTATTGAATCCCACTTAAATACGACAATATTACGAGTAAAATTACGGGAAAATTATTAACCGTGATGTTTCATTACGTATAAAAAAAAAAAAGAAAAAAACGTCAATAAGATATTTCCGATATCGGAATACGATAAAATACGACCAATTCGCAACCGAAAGCGCAGACAACACGAACACCTTTTCGCTCCTTTTACACTTTCTTACACAATTACGACAAAACAAAGAGATTCTGGTATACCATGCAGACCCACGAAAACGATTTTTACATTCCTGAATGTGCGTTTAAGATAAGCAGTTGATTCTCGCATAACGATAGAGATGAGAATCTTTACTGTGATTATACCGGATTTAATGACTGAAGAACACGGGCTCAAAGGTACAATCGAGGAGGAAAGAGATCGCGATCTCCCGAGGACGATCTCGCGAGAGCGCGGCTTCTTCCTCCGGAGGCCTCGGGATCCAGCGGCGGTCGAGGAGCACTTTGCTTCGGTAAAGCCGCGGCGAGCGAGCATGCGAGGTCGAAGCCTTTCCTCTCTCGCTCTCGCTCTGTCTTCCTCCTGCCGCTCTGTCTCTCTCCCTAT